AAACAGGGTTAACAAAGCCACAAGGGGATGGGTTGAAAGTAATTATGAAAAGTAAAGAAAGTCTCCAGCTCAACAAAGAGAAATTGGATCTGTGAAAACACTTCATCGCAGATTAACTCCTGGAATGTACTGAGCATCACATACTGGTGATATATAGCAGCTGACGAGTATTTTAGGGTGGAGTTTTCCCTCTGTAACTCAGGCCTTTGATGAATATTATTGACATAGCCCCAATGCATTTGCACAGCCTGCAGCTTGCGTAATCATCCCATCAGTTCAGCAGTGGATGTGAGAGGTGACTGACATGGCAGCATTAAGTTTTATAGTGTGTGGATTAAATGAGTGGTTATTAGTGCTACCAGTCTGGAGGCACACACGGTCTTAGAGGGACTGACAGGAACATATACAGCATAATGCATACAGAGCGGCTATTCATCAACCATGCAGAATGCTAACCTTCATCTGATAAGGCCTTTGAAATCTGTGCCAGAACTCCAATCCAGGATAGCGGCGTACGTGCACACACACACACACACGCAAAAACATCAAAGACAAAGAGCCGTGGCCAATGTTTATTGATCTCCAGGTCTATTTTTGCTTGTGGAAATCATTGTAACATAAACCAGTCCTCTGTGGAGTTTGAGCATGAAGGGAAACGGGGCAACATTTAAACAATGTATATAAGTGAAATAAGCAAAAGAGAAGGAAGGGTGTGTGTAGGTGAACTGTGCCAGTGGGAGTGTGTGTTGTATATATGAATATGGCAGGCGTTTCAGATCAGAATTAAAGGGCATTTCAGTCCCTCTGTGGAGTACAGCTGTATCAGTTGTTGAGTGAGAATACAAAGTGGCGTGCTTCAGCTGTTGCCATAGTAACTTTGGACCACACTGGAGTGACACATTTAAGTGTCAGAGGTGAAAACTAATAAAATATACTTTCTCTAGTCCTGCATTCAAGTATAAATGTGCGTTTATGGTTTATTCCCCTCTTTGTTTCTATTTGTCGCAGTTTTATACTTTTATTCCACAACATTTTAGAGGAAAATAGTTTTTATTGGACTACTTTTCTCCAAAGGCTGTAGTAGAAATAATAAAAACAAAAGAGTTATTATACCTAAATTATAACTACATGCATATATGTAGGTATATATGAACACTTTTGTTGAGGGGGTTCATTTGTTTATCTTTACTGTCTGCTTGTGATGGCATCACGGCGAGGCGCTAGCAAACAGGAAGTTGTTTAGTTAATTTAAACAAACAAACAAAAAGTGAAACATTTAAAAGACTACAGTATTATACCGTTGTCTGCCACGGTCACCAACTTTTGTATTGCTTTGGGCAAATAAAACAGACGGAAACTGAACATAAAGTCTGAATGTGGTCGCAGAAGAAAACACAGAAACGATTAAAATCTCCAGTCAGCTGTCCTTCTAGGGTTTATTGCACAAGCAGGCACTAGACAGAAAGAAATCCCCCAGACTTTGCCTCTCTACATTTTTAATCCAGCAACATAATTTCTCTTTCTGTTTTACTGTTTAAAATCACTGTACTTTCCAAACTCATTTTCATTACTGGAACACTGGAAAGACTCCAACACTGAATGGATGAATTAAGCAAATGGACATCACACACAATGCAATAAAAATGCTAAATGCTTTTTTTTAAGTAACTTTTTTAAAAGTTAAAATGTGTACTATGTTCAAATAAAGGTTACTTCTCTTACAGCACTGTTTATGTTTTGGTAAATAGATCTTTTATGTACTTTTAATTGTAGTTTGACAAGTAAAAGTACAAGAATGGTTACCTACTTATGTACTTTGGTGCTCTGTATTTGAGGTAAATAGTTTGTTTCCAGTATGTACAAGTATATTCATCATTGTGTTATTGCCTTTAGTGACTGGTTACTTAAAAATAGTCTTCAGGTGTATTTTAGCCGAGTCTGGACCGTGAAGGGTTGAGACAGTCAGACAAACTCAGAATACATTAAACCACAGGTCCCTAAGTTAGGTACTAGAGCAAACAGACAACAATGTCCCTTTATGTATACTGATTGTTTACCTACAGTACAGGCTACATTAGTTAAAGATACACCATTAATATGTCAGCTTTCTTGTACCTACTCCTCCCTACAGCGGCCTTAACAGTGAACCTGAGCTGCTTTGGCGTCCACTCTCCCTCTTGGGATCAGAGTATTTTTACTAGCTGACTGAAACACTTCTTCAGTATCACCTACTGTCAAACTGTCCCCACTGCCTAATGCCACCGTGAACCAGGTCAGAGAGAGCTGGCGGACAGCTGCAGGTAGACAGGGGACACATCCCTGGCAAAGCATGGCACACATACCTGGATGGATTCGCTCAGTCGGTATGGACAGGAAGTGTTTTGAACTGTGATATGTTGTTTATGAGTGTGTGTGTTTTAGAGATGGCTTTATTCCACCTGGCACTACTGAGAAGCAGCTGTTCTACTACTGAGAAAATGACTGCCTTCGACCTGAACGCTGGTGAACTATGAACCCAAATGAGCGCACGTCATTTCAGGTGAGCCCAGAACCTTGAAGCTCAGTAGCGTCTAAAAATACAATCCACGCTGCACTTTTGCGTGACACATTGGTGCTTTTCTGTTATTTAATGAGCTAAAAATGAGCGACTCAGCATCAACCCTACTTATGAGATGAAGATGAAGTTTGATTCTTTTGTAGTTACTTGATTACTCTCGCTTGCACTCTCATAGTACTTTCCAATTTGTATTAAAGCCCTACCCAAAATTAAAAATCACTCATCCATGCCCCGTATACTCATCTCTAATACTTCCACAGATCAGCAGTTCTAAGTCCTCTCTTAATGTACTGCTCTTAATGAGGCCATTTTTTTCCAGATTAAAAATTTTTTTTTTTAAATTTGTCTCCACCCAAAAAAGTGCTGTGGCAAACAAACTAAAAACAACCAGTGTTGTCGAAAAATATAAATATATATAATATAATTGTTGAAAATATAATAATGAGATAAACATTCACACATCATATGGTTGATAGATAAGACTTGTGTTATGTTTCACAAGCTGAGAATTGTGACAGCTGTGAAAAGGTAAAAGAGTTAATTGTACAATGAAATACTTGGAGCCGTAAAGAAAATATATAGAAGAAGAACATATAAATTATGTTACAGAGGAGCATAAAAGTAAAGAATAGACAGAAGTATGTGTGTTTATGGTGCATCCATACATACAAATGTAAAGTAAGTTATGTGCAAAAGAGTTTCACAGAAAAGAAACATGTCATTTGGCAGTGAGTGATGCCTCCTTTTCTTTTAAACATGCCTCTCTTTAAGCTACAGTCACTAACACTGCTCTGGACACAGCTGTACCCTCTAAACGGAAAGTGAGGACTTAAAGCACCACACAGACGCTGGACCATAAAACCCATATACCCAATAAAAGTGAGTGTGAAGGTTCACAAAATTCCCACTCAGCGTATACACCAGTTGGATGTGGTTTATGAATCAGAAAATAAGAAGCGGCAGCACCTGCTCCAGGTCAAGGTGACATTAACTAGTTGGATGATTGTTACACATTGGTGTGCTATCAGTCACGTGACCCTTTGAGAAGGTTTTCCTCCTCACTCACTCTGGTGCTGTGTAATTCAGTGAGTCTACCTCCTGGACTGATAGATCCTCACGATCTGTGAAGGGGCATCAAAATCTAGAGCAGGTAATCTGAGGGTATCTTGTTTCTTACCTTCCCCTCCCAGAGAGAGAGAGAGAGACAGATGGCATCACTGTCACAATAAAGGGAACCAACTAGGAGTATAACAGCCTAATAATAATAATATTTTATTCAAAGCATCCCTAACCCTTCCTTGTTAACTGAAAGCTGCCATCAAGGGCATCACACAGGTGGCCATTTCTCATGTTACCATGGCAGCACCTGGCACGACTTAGTTGTTAGGACAAAAATTGTGGTGGTGTTAGCCTCTTTTGGACACCTGGTACTCAGCGGTGTTGCTTATTTAGTATTCTCTCCATCGACCTTCTCCTGTCCCACTGAGCCCACAATCGTGCAGAGACGGGAGAGGTGTGATTTCATGCAGGTGAGCTGTGAGCGTACATAGCTGAATGTGTGTTTAAAGTATTTTCCATCAGTAGATTATTTTGTTGGTTAAACAGGGAGCAGTTTTTCCCACACTCACTGTTTCAGAGGATCACATTCCTCTATTGCACCTCTGCGAGTGATGATGGTCTTTGTGATTTAGGAGCTCCATTGCATCCTAGTATGAAGATAAAGTGTCTCACGTGTACTTCAACAAGGGGCTCTAATGAGACACTGAAAGGGCTCTAAACAAGGGTTACAATCCACCGCGGTGACTCACTGTTTACAGCTGCCTCGCAAAGGTCATGTGATGTGTATGTATAGGCAGATGATGCAGACTGAAACCTGATACAACCACATCTGTCTTTATATAAAGATATCAGTATTCACCGTCACCCTTCAGCCAACGATTTATCCATTGTTTGTGGATTTCTGTTAGCTTGGCCAATCATTTTTAGTGTAGGTAGAGGTACTTACCGGAGAAATATCTGTATTTATTCACTTCTCTGGCTCTCAGCTCTGTAGCTTCTCTATTTCCTATAATTCTTCATTTGGCTTTTTGTTTTTTAATTGGCCTGTAGACCCAACCAACTGAATTCATCTCTGCAACCTTAACTTGTTTTTTCAATGAGCTTCTTTCTGTGAACAAGAACACAAACTGATTAAACTAATTTTAATTCGATTCCTGTTTTTGTTTTGTCTGATAATGCCAGGCCACTATAACTGGATGATGGACGAGCATAATGAGGCAGATTACCTGACTTTTGTCAGTGTTAAATTCTATAATTGGCATAGTTAATGTTAAAATGTATACTTATATAGTTACAAATTGACTGATATTGACTTAAGCGCAATGCTGGCTTCCTGCTTCAAGTGTATAAATTACAAATAAATGAAAACACAAACAAATGTTTTCTTGATGCATTCACTGTAAGTACAAAATCTTCACATTTATGATCAACATATCACATAGAAAAACAGTATTTTGGAACTACAAACAACTGGAAATGGAGATACCCTTAACCAAGAACATTTAATAAACTGTATGTATGTAAATCCTCTGGTCGCACCATTTAGCTGGAATTTAACTGGAAACCTACACACACACACGCACGCGCACACACACGCACTCACACACCATGTTTTTACTTTTACAAGAACCGCCTCTTCAAACAATACCTGGATCCACTGGTGGTAAACAACACATTTTTTTTTCCACCACTGGTGCAGAAAATCCATGTCAGTGGTGACTGCATCACATACAGTATAAAAACACTGGGTAGCATTTAATAGCAAAAACAGTTCTTCTATAAGTGAAGTTAAACACTGCTGCTGAGACCAGTGAGAAACCGACGAATGGAGAGAGACTATCAGAGCCCCGTAATGATGTTCCTTCCTCCTACAGGCGGTGTGTTCAGCTGCCACCACACTAAGCATTCACTTGGCTGTGTGGAAGAAGTATTAAATTTGTAAAATGTGTCCGTCTGGTACAAAAACCTGTTATTTCTTAAAACATATGGAGCGAGTGAGTGAGGCCCCTTCAGCGACCTCTCTGTCTACTGCTTCTGCTTCTTTTTTGCTGGTTTAATGGGGGTGATCTCCTCCTCTTCCTCCTCCTCGTCGTCGTCGTCGTCATCCTCATCAGACAGGTCCGACTCCTCAACCTGCGAGGCTGCACGGGAACAGAGGGCAACGTCAAATCACCGTCTTTTGAATTGAATCCTAGTATTATATTTAATTATAAAAGGCCAGAAAGGTGTCTTTATTCAATCTGCCCTCTCCGGTGAACCCATGCACAGTTAATAATACGCTCATTTCAAAGAAAGAGTAAAAGAAGGCGTCTATTCCTGATCGTGGAGCTTTGATAAATGTACATTTCACAGATTTTCTACTTTTAATAATTTGAACTGAAATACGTATTAAAAAAGTGTCAAAGATTTTATTTATGGAGAAATTGGACATTTTATTGCCCAAGGTTTAACTTTTAATGCCGCTGGGTCAAATTCAAGAGAAAAACTGAATAAAGAAAAAGTATTTCAGAACCTCAAGAATCCCTGTTTTCTCTATTATGCATCAATTGATCTGCTGATTATTTTATTGATTCATTGATTGGCTGGTAAAAAGTTAGAAAATAAGAGAAAAATACTAATAACATTTTGAAAAGCCCAAGTTTATATAGTCCAAAACTGCTGCAAAATAAAATATTAAGTTAAAAAACACATTTTCCTAATGACTGAAATTATGACTTTATTAATATTATTACTTTACTATTATTATTAAAAAAGCAGTGTATACACACACACACACACCGTTTTTTTATGTCAAATGTTGAATGTAGTATCAGTTAATATTCCATTATGCTTTTTAATAGCCTATCCATCCATGTTGATACAATCTTAATATACACCTACAAAGGGTTAAAAAAGGGATAAGTTAAGTGATTGTGAACGTTACCTATGAGGTGTAACCCACTGACAGTCACTGGTCCTGTCCCCGCCTTGAGCCGAATGGTCACCGGGGCCTTCAGCTCAAACTCTCCCAGACTCACCTGAGGAGAACAAGGTAAACGTTAAA